TGATAATGGTGCACTGTCGGTCCTCATCCTTTTTGACTGCTTCGCAGAATTTGTCATGGTTGACTACGTCACCCATCTCTCCTCAGTTGTCTGAGTCACCACGTTCTGGCTTCAAGTCCCGATCTAGGATTTGGACACAAAAATCAAGGCTGATACTTCAGTGCAGTACTGGTAAGAATATTTCACATGTCGAGGTCCCGTCCTTTGTGAGCCAATGTTACATCTGCCTGTAAAAGTCCCCATTAGCACATAATTTGCAGGAGTTTGAAGTATGCAAATTGGCTGCTAAATATGCTACATTACAACAGTGGTTGTCCTTCAACATTTCTTCATTGGCTGTAAAGAGCTTTCAACTGTTCAGATGGTCATAAAACACATGATATAAATTGTTAAGATCCCAGCTGACAGCAATACTGATAGCATCAAATCCCAGATCATCAGCTGTGATGAAGAGTCATCTGCACTCGAAACGTTAGCTCGCTGTCTCTCCATGGATGCTGCCTGACCTGCTGTGATCCCCAGCATTTGTCATTTTCAGTACAGATTCCAGCATCTGCAGTAATTTGCTCCCAGCTTGAAACCTAGCTTGATATACCATAAGTTTTACATTTCCAGTTTGGTTTCTGTGATGGTCAGTCATTGAACATTTTCATGAGAGGCTGCCAATGTACTTTTAACAGAACAGCACCAAAGTTTATTGTGCACCTGAAGGGAAAAAAAAAACACCTTTTTATAATTTCCAGGAATTAGTTGAAACTGTCTTATTGCAAATCTCAAATTTTCAACCCTTTTACCCTCAACAACAACCTTACAGATATTTGAACCTCTTTGATGGATCACCCTGTTTCCATTTTAAAACTGCTTATTTGTTGACACAGCTTTACTTGTCTCTTTGTAGCAATGATTGCATTCACACCTAATGCGCCTTCTTCAACTAATGTCTTTTCCTGAGACCCTTAAAGAAAATGTTAATATAATTCTAAACATGTATTCCTCAAACTCCTCTACCACAGCCTTCTGTTTCTGGAGCTTTCTTTTGCTGACGCTTAATCACTCGAGACTTCTTTTCCACCCACACTGCTTTGGAGACTGCTAAGCTAGCAGCACCTTTGTTGCCATAGACCTGGTCTCTGACAGAAACCTGCACACTTACTGACCTTCTGGATGGTTCTGTCTTTCTAAAAGAACATATTTCTGTCTCTGTCTCCCTGTGTCATTGAACACCTTGTTGCGAGACAACAGCCCAATACTGTGAGGAAGGGTCACTCGACCCGAAATGTTAACTCTTCTTTCTCTCCACAGATACTGCCAGACCTGCTGATCTTTCCCAGCAATTTCTGCTTTGGTTTCTGATTTACAGCATCCACAATTCTTCCTTTTTTTTTATATAGCTCAATGTTGTAGATTGTTTGCAATGTCAATATATTATTTGAGCCAAAGCTCAGCGTCTGATCCTGTATCTTCTTCAAAACATAGACTGCTTACTGCCATCCCTGTGATATTGCCTTTTTTTTACCCCTGCTCAGTTTATGCATTGCTCAACTGTTTTGTCCCCTCTTGACTTTACTACCCCAATGCTATCCTAGTTGATTTCACGTTTTTCTGTCATTTAAAAATTGCATTCTAATGTGCACCAGGCTTTTCTTGATTATGTTAAAGACCTGGACTTTTGTGTACAATAAGTATAATACAGGACAGTTGGTGAGTAAAGACAGGGAAATCAACTACATAATTGGTTAAAAGAAAGCATAGGCCACCTCACAGTGTATGTGCTTGCCTGTCACCTACTCTATCCCCTGCTTGGAAACTGACAGGGACAGGGGAGGTTGAATGATAATTATAGACACTTACTGTACGAAGGGGCTACATAGGTCACCAAAGAAGAAAAATTACTTTTCTGTTTTCTATTTACGTATAGACTGTTTACAATTTGCATCTGTCGGGATCCTTCTTTAATTTCTGCTTCTGTGTAACAGTTTCCAGCACGTGGGGTGTGAGGAAAATGTTAGAATTGGAATTTCATTAGGGATGGGAAGTAAATATTGGCACCATCAGTAACATCCACATCCCACAACCCTACAGACCCCACACATCCTTTGTAAACAATTTGTGCTTAAATACAAACAAAACATTATTTTTTCTTCTTTCGGAATACAGACCAAAATTCCAGCAGCCTTGAATTAGTGTTGAGGCCCACGTTCTGGATCCACAGGTAGTATGCTGCATTCATCTAAGAGTCATACACCTCGTAACATTGGGAATCACTGCCTCAACCACATATTTTCTCTTCCTCCCTGTCATGCCACTCGTGGCGGTTTGGGCCCTTTCTCAACCCACGAATTCCCCTTCCTATTCCAGGGACAGTCAAATTTCCTCTGTTTCCAGTTCTCTTAAACGAAGGTTACATCTTATCTGCCTCAGTGGAGCATGGATTTTCAGTCTCAGAATGCATTTATGGAGATCTGTCAATCCAGTGTATGAAGCCAGAATTATTTTAAGAGGTTTATATTCATTTACTAGGAGCTATTGCTTATTTGTATAGTCGCATAATACACCACTTGCATCTGTGAAGCTCAATTTAAAGGAAACAAAAAAAAATCAGATTGGCTCAGTTTTTAAATTGATTTTTGCCCCAGTTGGGAAATCTTAGATTTCAGGTTCAAGGATTATTTTGAATGAAGCAAAATAATTGTTATTGTCAGAACATGTAGTTATTTGAGACTTGGCACCATTTTCGTGGCTCAGATTAAACAACCTCCCCAGTATTCATCTGGTCCAGTATCAATTGGCTGCCTGGTCTTTGGGGATCTGCCTTAGACCTATCCTCAGCTAATTACTCCACATATGGTTCAGGGGATTATACATTGGCAGGTGAACACATAAACGAGTACACTGAGAGCTTCCCTATTCCTTTCACAACCCTGGAGCACCTTTCTTGCTTATTGTTTATTCTGGTTGAAGTGTTTTTGATGAGAAGCTCTCTTTGTGGGTTTCTGCAGAGCCATTCAATGCAGTATAAACTATAATTATATCATTCTGCAATGTTGCTCACAAGCCTGTGAGGCCTCTATTATGCTCCTCTGCTATGCTTCACTCCACTTCATAGCCCAACCATTGTCACAGTCCCAATCCACATGCTTCTACCACCCTCACTTTTAAGTGTCACTCTTACATTAACAACCAGCGTCAAGTTTTACTGCGCCATCACAATCGGGGTCGGTGATGTCACAGTCAGGATAGCCATGATACAAGAGCAGCAGCCCTGCCTCCTCACTCCACTCCCAAACAAAAAACACTCAGCGACAGCTCACCTACATATGGTAAGGATTTCTGATTAAGGGAAGAGGGGGTTTAGGAGATTAACACTGATATTCTTTACTGGCGACGTTGCCAAGCAATGGGTTGCAGATTTGGAAGTATGGGCACCCTTGCCTTGTTGTTTTATAAACTCAAGCCCTTATCCCACCTCCCCCCACCCAATCTTTATCAGCTTCAGTCGGGACTACTGTTGGACCAAGGTTATCTGATAACAAGCACTTGAAAAAGAATGCCCATTGATTACGTCTACCAAAAATGAATGAGTGGTTGTAAAAAAGAAAATTCACATGATTATCATTGACCATTGACATTGTTAGAGTATGACAGCTTGATCACATGATTATAGTTGGTCAACAAGCTGGCTAAAAGTGACATTTGCTCAGTTTTACTCTTGGTAAGAGATTCCCATCTCTGATGGCCAGGCACACTAAAACTCAGCTGATCTCCAGCACCATTGCTTCTTAGCTCTCATAATGGAAACAAAAACAGAAATTGCTGGAAAGGCTCGGCAGGTCTGGCAGCATCTGTGAAGAGAATTCAGGCGAAACGTTTCAGGTCCGGTGCCCCTTGTTCTGAGGAAGGGTCGCTGGAGCTGAAACGTTTGCTCTGATTTCTTTTTGCAGATGCTGCCAGATCTGCTGAGCTTTTCCAGCAACTTCTGTTTTTGTTTCTGACTTACAGCATCTGCAGTTCTTTTGGTTTTTATTCCCATGATGGAGACAGCTAGAGAGCCAGTTCTAGTTCATTGTCTCTCCCTGTGTACTGTGCACACTTCTCCTGCAACAATGGTGAGAAGGGAACAATGAGCTAGAGTAATGGAATATATTGAGTGGGTGAACAGATCAATATCAGTTGTGAAGGGTCGATGTGAGGGATGGGTAAGATGTTGCATTATATGTGAGAGTAAGTGTCAGGGAAGGTCGTCAAATCGGGATGTGAGATGCCTAGCCAGAGAGGGATGGGGATAGAATTGAGAGGTGTTTGGTTTAGGGAATAATGTGTAAAATTAAGCAGAAAGGCAGGATCTGGTTAAATGCATTGAGAATGAATTGTGCCACTCATCTTACTGAGTTGATTAAATATCTTTGAGTCATGTATCCAACACCCCTGTATCCTGCTGCTATCTGCCTCTGATATTTTCGGCTATGCTTCTGTGTGCCCTGCAACAGACCTCTCCATACTATTAGCAGGGGAGCGAATCTCCCAGTGGGCCCTTGCTGTCCTGCAGAGTTGCAGTTTGTTTGCTGTTATTTCTTGCTCTCAAAAACACCTGAATAATCCTAAAACTACAAACTTCGCTTTTTAATTACCACTTCTCAGAATGGTACTTGCAGGTTGTCTCGATGGGGAAACCAGGTTTCAGATGTTAATTTGCCGGTTGGTTTTGTATATGGGTCTGAAAGGGTTAATACAAAAGACTGCCATTTAGTACCACCTACTACAAGGATGTCATATGTACGTGTGAGAAGTAAGCCATATCGTCCAGGTCCTTCTTGTAGTCTCTGTAACAATGTCTATCATATCAATGTAACCTTCTTGTTCAACACAAGAGAACCCCTTTGAGTTAGACCAGTGAGTGGTTTTCCTCTACTGCATGAGACAAAACAGACCCTGTAGATCTATACACTGGTTCAGTAGCATAAACAATTTGGTGTAGCAGTTGAGGTGTGAATATTTTTTAGGCTGAACCGGAACTTGGAGATGCTAAGTTACTTGCTTATGAGTGTCAGCAGCAGGAAAGAACTAAACAGATAAGTTCTTTACAGAAGAAACAGAAGCAAGATTCAGCAAGGAAGAACCAACAGTCAATGGTAAAATTTCAGACGCACTAAGTGACACACTGCAGCAGGAGGAGAGCAAGGAATTCCCTAAACATTCAGGTGAATTCATAACTGATTTCATCAACGATTTCTACACATTTGGAAAATTGCAACTATCATGATTTAAAGTAAGAGTTCTTATGGGGCAGAATTGTTTACAAAATTGCTGATGAGTCTTTGTCAGGTTTATTACAGTCAAAAGAAGACTTGACTGTAAATAAAGCCATTCTGGTAGTGATTGATGCAAATATCTAGAAGCCATGTGAATCAATCCAAAAAGCAAAACCTCAACCATGGCACAGAAGATCAGAAAAATCTGTTCAATTTCTTAAGGCGTCGAACCACAAGTGACACATGAGAAACCAGAGTAGTGAATGAGACAGGCACCAGCTGTTAAAAAGGTCCTTGTGAGCACTGTGGAACAAAGAATCCTGACAGACACAGACAGTGCCCCACCATCAAATGTTAGTTTTGATTTTACACACAACAGAAAATGCCAAAATATAACAGTCATAGAAAAGGCAATCAAACAGCAAGCCCAACAAAGAGCGAAATGAGGTGGAACAGACTACAGTAGAAGAAGTGCCTAAGGTGTTCCTAGGAAAATTAAATGACCCAGATGTGGCAAACTGATATTTATGGCAGTGGTCATCTCATGAATTTTAAATTAGAGACTAGGGCGAGTGTCACTACATTATCAGAAAGTAAATCATGTTTGAGAAAACACTGTCTACAGCGGACAACAGTGCAGCTGTGGTCCAAGAGGCTTAGCAGTTAAGATTCAAGGTATTGTGTAAGCATTTCTCTAACATAAGGTATGCCAAATAGTAGAAAACTCATACGTAATTCTCAGTCAAGAGTTAACAATATTTTGAGCATGGGTGCATGTCTTGACATCAATTTCCTTCAAATGATGGAGTTAATCTGGTCAGGAGCAGCTGCTCAAAGCACAAGCAGTAGGAGGTGCCCTAGGAATACATGCAGAATCTGACTGAATGCGGACTCCATTGAGATTGGCTATTTTGGCTTAAGAAATTTGTTTCGTGCAGCCAATAAGATGGTATCTTGTGACTGTACTGGCTTGGCATAAATGTTTTCCACTGCTATCAATAATGAAGAGAGTTCAGATGACAAGAATCACCAATGAGCATTATAACACACTTGAGCCAATTGATAAATCTATAACTGTTGAAACTCTGAATGCTGCAACACAGCTTGGTGCACCAGTAGTAATGACAGATCCAAGTCTAATATCAGGATGAGGTGACTCAGGGTAGGTAGATTCAAGCAGACTATCCTCTTTGGAAATACCCTCCGTAACCGTGACAGAGATCATACCAATGTAGAGGCAATCCTCGAATGGCACAACCGAGCAAGGGAACATGCTAGTTTCAGTAATAGTCTCTGATGATGAATGACAATGTCCAAACCAATGAACAAATAGAAGTAAAGGGTCTCCATGGTGTAGCACAGGGTCTACAGGTAGACTTAGAATAAAAATCTGACTCGGACTGAAGATATGGTACGTACAACCCCATGGGAGCCACTCTCGATGATTCATGATACTATAAAGAAGCAATTTTTGGTTTCAGCAACATGTTCTGTGAAGGACGTTCAAAAGCTTGAATGACCTCCATTTTAAAAGGGATACACAGACCTCAGACTGCCAGGAAGAGAATCAAAAACAATTTCCAACCAACTAACTACTGGTCTTACTGGTTTGAAGAGAACATATTTTGAGAGAGTTGTGAAACCATCAGATTGCCTGAATTTGTAAAGTCAGAGACTTGAGGGAGATCGGGTAGTTGCAAATGTAATTATGCATAGAAATGTATATATTAATAATGGGGGTCAAAAGCTTAAGGAGAGGGAAATATTGTATATGGGTCTGAAAGGATTAATATTAAGGAGTGCCATAAGCACCAATCAATATGAAGATGTCATATGAACTTGTGGGCAGAATATTAGGATTTTGGAGGAATAAGACCTAACATCCATTGTCTGTGTAACAATGTTTTATAATATCAATGTAATCCATGACCAATTGTTAACATGGAACAATGGCCTGTTACTTAATAATGTAAGAGGCTCTTCTGATTAGGCCAATAAGCGATTTATCTCTACCCTCACTAGATAAAGCAGTCAAGTAGATCTCTGCATTTAAAGAGGATGGATACAGCAAACATGGTCAGGTATGACTTTGTTGAAAAGAATGTGCAAACCTCAGACAAATGTGTTGCACATAGTTCAGTGTTCTTCATGCATGACCAGGCTGCCCCACTGGTCAGGATTTGAGATGATGCTCTGATAAGTCAACATTCCACCACTTCGAAAACATTTGGTAGAAATGAATGAAGAATAAAGGCTAGCCATCAACCTTTTACACAGCTGCCACTTACTCTGACAATCAGTTATTTCTCATATTGTGCATTTATAACCTGCTCACAATTCTATAATGCCATTTGATAATAGCTTGTTACACTATGGAATCTGTATAACTTGTATATTCTCCATTCCATTCCTTCTGAATTATACTTCTCTCGCATAAAATGCCCTTCTATTGTAGTTTACTGAGCACTGAAGATGATTCAGATGCATTTCTTTCCCAATAGTAGGTCATTGACCCTGGCTGTTTTTATCAAAATATTTATATTAGCCTTGCTGAATATTGAAATACTTAACTCACTTGATGAAACCAAATTCATAGATAGCTCATATGATGCATTGAATGTTTTGCTGTAATCCAATTAGTTCCTTACAGCTGCCTTTTTGTCTCACCAACAAGATGCAAAGTTTCAGACTGCACCAAGCAAGGTGGATAAAGAGGAATCAGTAATTATGTTGGAATAGGATTTCCAAAAGGCAATTGATGAGGTGCCATATGCCCTATAACAGCTCATGGGGTAATGTATTAACATGGATAAAGGATTGGTAATTTCACAGAAAACATAATAAATGGGTCATTCTCATCTTGGCAAACTGCTACTAATGGAATTCCACAGAAATCAGGGCTGAAATTTCAATTATTTATAATCTGTGTTAATAAGACCATAAGATATAGGAGCAGAATTAGGCCATTCAGCTCATCACATCTGCTCTGCCATTTAATTATGGCTGATATGTTTCTCCGTTCCATTCTCCTGCCTTCTCTCTGTACCCCTTGATCCCCTTACTAATCAAGAACCTATCTATCTCCGTCATTAATATCCTCAAGGACAGCCTCCGTAGCCCTCAGTGGCAATGAGTTCCACAGATTCACCACCCTCTAGCTGAAGAATTTCTTGTAAACCTTCTGTGGAACCACACAATCACCAGCACGTCTTTCCTTTAGATACAAGGCCAAAAGTGCTCACAGTATTCCAAATGCAGTCTAACCGGAGCCTTATACAGCCTCAGCTGTGCATCTCTGCTCTTGTAGTCTAGCCCTCTCAAAATAAATGCCAACATTGCATTTGCCTTCCTAACTGTTAACTGAACCTGCATGTTAACCTGAAGAGAATACTGAGCTAGGACTCCAGTCCCTTTCTGCCTCAGATATCCGAAGTCTTTCCTCATTTAGAAAATAGTCTGTGTCTCTACTCTTCCTACCGAACTGCATAACCTCACAGTTTTCTACATTGTATTCCATCTGCCACTTCTTTGCCCACTCACCTAGCGTCCAAGTTCTTCTGCAGCCTTCCTTCTTTCTCAACACTACATGTCCCTCCACCTATCTTTGTCTCATCTGCAAACTTAGCAACAATGCCCTCAGTTCCTTCATCCAGATAGTTCATGTATGATGTGAATAGTTTTGGTCCCAATACGGAGCCTTGCTGAACTCCACCAATCACCAGCTGCCATCCTGAAAAAGACCCCTTTATCCCCTTTCTCCGCCTTTTGCCAGTCAGCCAATCCTCATTCAATGCCAGTACCTTGCCCCTAACACCCTGGGCTCTTAACTTATTTAGCAGCCTCCTTTGAGGCACCTTATCAACGGCAATTTGGATGGAAGGACCAACTGTGTTGTAGCCAAATTTGCTGGCTGTACACATGTAAGTTGGAAAATATCATAAGGAAGATACATGGAATCTGCAAAGAGATAGAAATAGGTTAAATGAAAGGACAAAAATTTGGCAGACCATATAATTAAGGAAAATACGAGGTTGTTCACTTTGACAGGAAGAAGAGAAGGCAGAATACTATTCAAAAGGAGTGAGCATAGAATGCTGTAATATGGAGGGATGTATGTGTCCTCTTACTTGAATCACAAAAAGTTAGCATGCAGGTATAGCATTTAATTTGGAAGGCAATTGTGTGTTGGTATTTATTGCATGAGGGATAGAGTATAAGTTGGGAAGTCATACAACAATTCTACAGGGCAATGGTGAAACCATTGCTGGAGTGTTATGCGCAGTTCTGATCTCCTTGAGGAGGGATACACAACATTGGAAGTGATTCGGACAAGGTCCGTTAGGCTGATTCCTAGGATGAAAGGATTGTCTTATGAGGAAGAGTTGAGCAAATTAGGCCTATACTCTATGGAGTTGAGGAGAGTGAGAGACGATCTGGTTGAAGCATATAACTCGGAGGTTTCAACAGCACAAATGCTGACAGGACCAGGGGATGCAATCTGAGTTTAGAAGTGTCCCATTTTACGACTGAAATGAGGAAAAATGTTTTCTTACTAAGATTCGTTACTGGAATTGTCTTCCACAGAGAATAGTGGGGGTTGGGCCATTGACTATATCCAAGGATAGTAGGATTATTTCTGAAGAAGGGTCTAGGCCCGAAACGTCAGCTTTCCTGCTCCTCTGATGCTGCTTGGCCTGCTGTGTTCATCCAGCTCTACGCCTTGTTATCTCAGACTATATCCAACCCTCAATTAGGTAGCTTTCTGATTGACAGGGAAATCAAGAGACATGGGGATTTTGGATAGGGTGGCAGTCAGGAAAGTGGAGTTACGGACACATCAGATTAGCCATGATCCTGTTGAATGGCAGAGCAGCCAAAATGGCCTACTCCTACACCTTTTACTTATGTTTAAACAGAACTGCTGGTTGATACTTCCCTGCTTCTTAAAGGGGCTGTATAGAAATGGAACAATGATCAGAATTTAACAACCTGAAATTTTGATTGGTCATTTGAACACTATGGACAATGGTATCCGTGGGCTGTGTAGACACTTTTGGGTCAATTTGTGGTGAGCACCATATTATTGAGGGGTTAGTATGCCAGACATACAGAGAACAGGCAGATCGTTGCGTCATTCAGTGTGCAAAACTGATTTGATGTCAATGATGCCATTTTGGAGCTCAATACTCGAGATGAAGCCTTCCGTTTAGCTTACAGAGGTGAGCACACATTCAGCAGTAAGAATGATCACTTCCTTCCTGTCCTACCAATGTACTAATGTCCTTTAGGGAAGGAAATTGCCATCCTTACCTGGTCTGGCCTACATGTGACTCCAGACCCACAGCAATGTGGTTGACTCTGAACTGTCCTCTGAGCAATTAGGGATGGGCAATAAATGCTGCCTGGCCGGCAATGTCCTCATCCGGTAAATGAATAAAGAAACTATTTAAAGGAATGGCCAATCGGTTAGATTAGTTTTATTTCTTTTGGCTGTTATGAAGGTTTTTTAGAATTAACATAACTTCCTTGGTTGTCCCAAATGGCAAAGGTCTTCATGGAATAATGTGGCAGGTGTGCAGGGAGCTTTTGCTGACTTTAAAAGCTTCTACAGAAACCAGTTGGTCTAGGTACAATCGTAGACATTCGCTATGGCAGTGTAGCCATGCACTCAATACGGGCTGTTTAAGCCCACATCCCATTCCCTGCACCCAGCAGCTATCAAACTCAGCCTCTGGATGTTTTCCTACTGCTTCTTTCTGTGTCTTAACATGTAAATGTTTTAATTTGTAATGTTACTAAAATTCTAGTCATTAGAGATTGACAAGCCTTGATCCCACCCTTTGCCCTGACTAAATACCATTTCTAGCAACTTCTGACAAATTAGTGACACTTTTAGCTCCAGTTTATGGGTGTGCGTGTGTTTAAAGCTGCCTGTATTCCAGGGATGCATCATCTTGCAAAAGATGACATTTCTATTAGGCTAATTTGAGGGTATTCAGCTTGACAATGACCAGTAAATCCACCGTTGTATTCATATATTTTGTTGCGCTGCAAGATTAGATTATGTTTTTGGCATAGTCACTGTGACTGCCTTATCATTGCAAGGAACATTTCTGCACACTGAATCTTTTGTTCTTGAAGACAAATCTTGTTCCCTTTTAAATTATGTTAAATACAGTCTTTGTAGAATCTTAACAAAGACAGAAATTTCACAAGGATATGGTATTATAGGTTTCCATGGTGAACCTCTTTTTTTATGTGTGCTTTACTCTTCAATTACTGTCGGAATTGAGCACTGATGACATTTGCAGTTAAGTATATATGTCTATAAGGTGGTACATATGAACATTTTCACAGTAAGAGACTGCCTACAACTTCCAATTATCTCATTTTAGACTGTAAGTCATCTGTATATGTTAGCTCAAAATAACTTCATGTATGATTGAATTTGAACAAACAAAATGGATCAGGCTTTTCTCTATAAACCTGCCCTGGAGAAACTACACAAGGGGCACAGTATCTAGGAAGCATAAAGAATTTGATATACTCGCTCCAATGCAGCTTAAATATTATTGGAGTTGAAATTGAACATGGGTGGGTCTGAAAGACTGCCAGAACCATATTTGGCGACTGTTATTGGCATGCCTTTTATTCAATTCTGTTGAAATCAGTGAGTATGAGTAATGGGTGGCCTAATTAACTCATACCCAACTTTGCATCTCCACCCATATCCCAATTCACTTCTATTTTTCTTGTGGATACAACAGTCCCAGGAAGGAGAGGGCTAATGGGTACTACCTGATATGTATCTATTCATTTTTACATTGGTTGTGAATGTACACTAACTGTGGCAATTTGGAAAACTGTTAGCAAGGAATGCCTACATAGTCGCCTGTTAACACGTGCTTGCTTGGTTAACTTAACCAGAAGTGACAAGCTGACAAAGTAGATCAGTCTTTGTCAGTTTGCATACTTTTGCCAGTTAGACTTGAAATATTCTATTATTTTTCCATTTTTGCAGACAAGCGTGCTGAGTTACTGAGAGGCAAGCAAAACAAGTGAAGAGTGAAGCCCTTGGTAATCCTAATTGGAGACACAATGAGACAACGCGTTCACTCTGCCCTGAGCCCTCACAGTTCCTCTGCTGTCACTGCGTAGCACGTTCAGCCAAAGAAAAATTATGGCAGTTGTCGAAACACAGGTGGTTAGTTCAGACCTGGATCCTGACGAGGATTTGGATGAACAAGATGAAGACATTTTCAGTCAGATGGATGAGAATGGGATCATTGGATTGGATGAAATCAATGAGTATTACGGGCAGTACCATCCGCGATTGGAGGATGGCTTGGAAACTGTGGAGGAAGATGGAGAGGTGACTGAGCTCAAAGTGTTGCATGATCACAATAAATTAAGTAGCCTAGTCTGTCCCCAAGAGTCTTTGGATGATGAGAGTTTTAATATCAGTGAATACCAGGATTCAGACCCTGCTTTCTTGTCCATGTCTGCAGATGAAGATGGAAGTCTCAGTCATTTAATTTGTAAGTAATTCACTGCTATATACATTGCTGAAATAATCTATACTGTAGCTGTTTGCCTGCACTTAAAGCTCATTGTTGTGAATGGTCCTATCTAATCTCACGGGCATGGTCAGCGAGGCAATGATTAAATCTAGTGCTTATTCTCAAGAGGCTGCAGCTGGAGAATAATATGTTTTTCTTTTTGGGGAGTTTAAATCAGACACAGTATGTAGAATCTGAAAAATGAGTCAACATTTCTGTTGAAATAGTGGATAAAGGAGCTCCCTAATTTCCAACGCTCCTTCAAGTGTTGATGTATTAATTGCTATATGTAATGATGAGGCAATGCACTCTGTAAAAAAATGCCCCTGTAGTGAAAGGGTGCATGTGCTCAGTAAGGTAATACCTTTTTTCAATGAGTTGAAATGAAGAAAATGAGAGAAATGGACAACTGAGGATTTGGTGAATGACCTCCAATCTCTGCGCAGAGTCAGTTGAGACAATGTCACAAAACTGAAGATTAGGTGAGCAGAACACACACGGCCCAGCGGGGATGTGCAAATTCAAATAGTTAGGAAAGGTAAGAGACATCTCCCGTACTTCCGCCCTCACCCCTTCTCTTCCCTCCTGCAACAGTGATAGTGTTCCCCTTATCCTTACCTACCATCCCACCAGCATCCACATCCAGAAGATCATCAGATGCCATTTCCGCCACCTCCAGCAAGATGCCACCACCAGACACATATTCCCCTCCCCTCCCTTGTCTGCCTTCCACAGGGACTGTTCCCACCAGGACACCCTGGTCCACACTTCTTTCACCCCCAACACCTCCCAACAGCCCTACGGCACCTTCCCCTGTAACCAGCGAAGGTGCAACACCTGCCCATTTACCTCTTCCCTCCCCAGCAGCCAAGGACCCAAACACACCTTCACCTGCACTTCCGAGAATCTAATCTACTGCATTCGCTGCTCACAGTGTGGTCTCCCTTACATTGGGGAAACGAAGCATAATGAGCAGATATTCTGGTTTTTAGTGATGTTAAGAGGGAGACCAGGCCACCAGTGAGAACTCCTGTGCTGTTCTTCACAATAATGCTCAAAGTTCCAAACATTGCTTCCAGTGTTTGCGCCTAACCTCCACATGGACCTACTTCTGATTCTTCCCCAGCTCGGGAAAGAGATTCCCACAAGTCAGTGGGTGTGTTGCATTAATTCAGGGAAGCCTAGAGGCGTAGAACCTTTCTCACCCCTGTTGGGAACTGCTTGCCAAGGTGTTGCGGAAGCATTTGTTGCAGAAGACTTGTCTTAGGCAGGCAGACGTTATGGCCTGCCCAATGCAGCTTATTGGCCATTCCCAGTGCCTCAGTGCTGCGGATGTTGGCCTGACAGAGGACAGGTGTATGAGAATACCTCGCCTGCCATTGTATTTGCAGATTTTTGTGAAGGTTTTACTGATAATATTTCTCTAGGGATTTCAGATCTCATCTCCTGTACGCCATGTCTCTGACACATGCAGAAGAACAGATAACACAATTATCCTTTAGACCATGCCAAGCCTCTCCACCCCACTCGCCTACCTGACCCCCAACACCTTCTCACAACTGGCCACCCTATCCACTTAGTTATTTTACACACTCACTTTGCCAGCTATAGACTGACGGTATCATTGGGCCCTGTAAACATTTATTCCCACATTCCTTAGTTTTACGAATAGAATATACCTAAATTATGCTACGAAAAGGACCTGCAAAAATCTTACCCATACAATGCCTATAATCACAAGTGAACCCATATATGTGGACCTCTCTGAGGATCAAACCAAAACAGGTGTCACCCTGCTCCGTCCCAATCTCTGAACACTGATCATATGACTCCTCTTGAGCGAACTACAATGCTCTGAAGCAAACTTTCTTTATTCAGACAAGTTGTGTTCAGTTTTATTCTCCAGTCGCCTGCAAATCGTCAGTTTAACCACTGATAAATGTCACAAACATGTCATCTAGCCAGACTAGTTTGATTACTTGCACTTTAAGACTTGTTTGTCTCTCTGGAAAGAAGTTTATCTGTTGCGTTTAATGAACTTTGACCTCAGGTCAGTTTGTTCAGGCTGCTCACCACCTTTATATCATCCATTAAATGATGCAACATTTACACTTCACAGTTAGATGACAACCATAAGTTTAGCTGATAAATAGTCAACATTATCAAATCTGATTCGGTGTGTCTGTTTTAATCAGAACTTCAGTCTTTCAGAGTGATAAATTCAGTTTGTTACTGCTGAGTAATAACATTTAATATTCACACACACACTCCATCAGCAAAAACAGAAACGCATTGAAACGAGTGACCTGTCTAATCATTAGATCTTCACCAGGCTTCATGTGTTTCTTATTTTACCTCATTTCATTTAATTACATTTTGGTTAACCCAGTAAATGTTTGGTTAATATTGACAACCCTTTTAAACATTTTTATTTACTATTAAAAGTCTGCTATTGCTGTAAAAAGAAAGTGTGATTTTTGCAAAGGATACATTCTGGTGCTGCTCAGTGATTTGCTTTGGTTATGAGGGATCTTACACTGGATGTCAGCTGGAAAAGCCTAGAAAGATAAGTGGGCAATTGTTTTTGTCTGATCCGGGATAAGAATTGGGAATTCCAACGCAGATCTGAATATTTGGGTCACGGTGTCCACAGGCAGAATCTTCCCTATGCCTGAATGATGTGGGCATTGACGACTCCATTGGGAACAAAGAGTGAGATCAACAGAAATTAGGTTCTCGACCGTGAGAAGAAAAAGTCTGATTCTCAACCAAGTGTTGAACAGTGAAACAAGAATCTTGCTAGTGCACAGCAACAGGCTTACTTGCATCCATTTGGATGTATTAGCAAAGCATTATTACCAATGTTGCTCTCTGCTGCAGGCCTGTGCAGCCACTCCAAGGCCAATGCCATCCACACTATTGATTTCTGGCTGCGGAAGTCGCTGCTGCTCATGGACCTCGGAACTCCACACATTCAACATAAAATCAGCAGGAACACTGATTATTATCTAATCTCATCTCATTGATCTACAGATTTCCGTTCTCCCACTCGCTGGATAGAAACGAGACTCCAGCTCACCTCTTGTTCCTCCAGGCCTCCCATCTTGGACAATAGCCCCTATCATTCTGGGGTGCACCCCATGGGCAGCGACTGCCTGCACTCAACACCCTCCCAAACTACAGAGGTTGGCATCAGACCCTTGTGGCACATCTCCAACCCATTAAACAACATAGTTCTGCACTTTGGAGCACACTGCACCTTTCATTGTTGTTGCCAGGAACATTAGTGAGTGTGAGTTATCAGAGAGAAGATGGTGATACTTATCCTCAAGGAATGTAGAAGGTTATTGACTTTCTTGAGGTTGCTGAGCATTTCTTTGGATTGTGGAGACTTCACTGACCATGGTGGCAATCTGGGACCGGGTTGGCAGTGTCTGGTGCCATGATCTCCACTGTGCCATCCTGTGCACCAGATCCTCCCGAACCCCGTCAACAAAGCACGAAACGAATTTGCCTCTCGCAGCCACTTCTAAGGCAATTCACAGGAACCGTGCAGAGCAGCTCTGCCCTGGACCCAGCAGGTATTTCTGTCACTGGTGAGAGAGATGATGGGATGTGCAGGGTGGTATAGAGGCATTAGTAATGAGGTGAATTTCAGAGAAAAAGCTTGAGAAATTTCACTAGGGTTCAGAGAGAGAAACCCTCCATTCAACAGCCAGAATTGGCATTTGTCAGATTGCTGTAAAATTGAGGCCAATACCTCTGGTTGACTATGTTTCCCAGATTTCTGTGAGCCCATCTTCAGTTTTCATATTTCAAATAGTGGATTAATGCAGCTAAATAGACAGACCATGAGTAATGTAATATTTTGGCTCCATATCCTATGTAAATGTGTTTTAGTTTTAGCTATCTGAAATGTGTAACTGCTCAGTCAAGCCATTGAAGTGATCAGTTTTCCTGACTGTTCAAAGGTATTTCACACCCTGTTTCATCATTAAAGGAAAAATAGCTTTATTATTAGCAAGCTTATTTTTTAACAAATTCCAAAAATGGGTTACTAATTTAGTAGTGTGCTTAGCAATCTTCACCCCTTTAAAACTCCAAGCGCACCCATCCTTTCACAAATAAGACAAACAAAAACAGATATTTTGGCACTAATATCAGTGGAAATTATTATTCTCTGTCACTGTCAACCTCCCTACTGTTACCACCTGATATACTTGCTCACTGTTATCTTCCTCTCTGTAATATCACTTTAATGTATTGTGTGTCATAATCTATTCTTCTTCCTGTGATCTCTACCAGAGAAATCACTTTGTTTTATTAAGTCCAGAACGCTCACATCACAAACTAAAGGTTTTACTGTTTGTATGTTGTAGGGGTTTAGGTACATTTTTTAAAAATTTGAGTCACAGGTAATCAGGATGGTTAGGAAGGCATTTGGCATGCTTGCCTTCATTGCTCAGACCTTTGAGTGCAGGAGTTGGAATGTCATGTTGAGGTTGTACAGGACATTGGTGAGGCCTGTTCTGGAGTACTGTGTGCAGTTCTTGTCAACCTGTTATAAGAAGGATATTAATAAACTGGAGAGGATTCAGAAAAGACTTACCAGGATGTTGCCAGAAGTGGCGAGGTTGAGATATAAAAATAGACTGGGAAGGCTGGGATCTTTTTCACTGGAGCGTAGGAGGTTGAGGGGTGACCTTTATAGAGGTTTATAAAATCATGAGGGCCATAGATAAGGTGAATGACAAGAGTCTTTTCCCTAGGGTTGGGGAGTTGAAAACTAGTGGGCATACTTTTAAGGTGAGAGGAGAAAGATTTTAAAAGGACATGAGGGACAACTTTTTTTTTACGGATTGGTTCGTGTGGAGAATGAACTACCAGAGAAAGTGATGGATGCAGGTACAATTACAAGGTTTAAAAGATATTTGGATAAATACATGAACAGGAAAGGTTTGAAGGGATATGGGCCAAAC